AGATATGAACTAAGAAAAACATCAACTAAATATACACTAAGCACTCATAACATAAAAACATTGAACATCAGCACAAACATGAACATGAGTCTGTGAGCAGATGTGCACGCATGAACACATCAACATTGAAACAGATCAGCAGCAACATGATATGGTTTTTCACAGTGATTATTCTGGTTAGAGATTCATGAGTCTAACAGCCTCAGGGTAGAAGCTGTTCCTCAGTCTAGTGGTTCTACACTTAATGCTCCTCAACCTCCCTCCCGAGGGGAGTGGGGCAAAAAGTGTGTGTGCTGGGTGAGTGGGGTCCTTCATGATGCAGGTGGCCCTTCTCATGCATCTGGAGGTGTAGATGTCTGTGATGGTGGGGAGGCTGATTCCGACAGATTTCTGTGCAGCCTTCACCACTCTCTGCAAAGCTTTTCTTTCTGCAGCTGTGCAGCCTCCATGCCACACGTTGATGCTCGAGCACAGGATGCTCTCCACTGCACACCTGCAGAAGGAGGTGAGGACTGAGCTTCCCAGACCAGCTCGCCTCAGCCGTCTGAGGAAGTAGAGTCTCTGATGAGCTGGTGGTGTTGTTGCTCCAGCTGAGGTTGTCATCCATGTGTACACCCAAGTACTTGTAGCTGGAGACCACTTCCACCGCAGATCCTCTTATGTTCAGGGGGGTGTAGATGTTTTTGTTCCTTCTGAAGTCCACAATCATCTCCTTTGTCTTCTTCACATTGATGTGAAGGTTATTCTCTTTGCACCAGCTCTCCAGGTGCTCCACCTCTTTGTGATGCATCCCACCACCGCTGTATCATCCGCAAACTTTACAATGTGACAGCCTGGATGGGTAGCTGCACAATCATACGTGAGCAGAGTAAACAGGAGGGGACTCAACACACATCCCTGAGGAGAGCCAGTGCTGAGGGTTATGGTGGAGGAGGAGAGGTTGTGGATCCTCACTGACTGTGGTCTGGAGAGATCTGGAGAGATGATGCTGGAAGAACAACCTTCACATCAATGTGAAGAAGACGAATGAGATGGTCGTGGATTTCAGAAGTAGCAAACACCTATTCACATAGGAGGATCTGCGACGGAAGTGCAGTTACAAGTACTTGGATGTGCACCTGAATGACAACCTCAGCTGGGGAAACACTACACTTGTGTTTTTCTTGATTGTTTCTGTATTGAAACAATGTATCTTTGATTATTACTTGGCTAAAAAAAGTTCAAGCAACGATAAAGTCCATGCTCAATAATCCAGGTATACAATCCAACATTTTTCAGTCAGGTCATCTGGACAGTTTCTTTTTTTTTTTGTGCTGAAACATTTCGCCTTCGGTCCGGAAGGCTTCATCAGTCAAGGAAACGCACAACAAAACTGATTCTTCCCCCAACAGCTTACTCCAAAGTGGAACAATCAGTTTTGTTGTGTGTTTCCTTGACTGATGAAGCCTTCCGGACCGAAGGTGAAACGTTTCAGCACAAAAAAAAGAAACTGTCCAGATGACCTGACTGAAAAATGTTGGATTGTATACTTGGATTATTGAGCATGGACTTTGTTGTTTTCAACCAGTTTGACAAGACTGTCAACAAGGAAGAGGGACGACAATGGAGGAAGGAGCGTACCAAAGAGACCATCTTATCACAAGCAGAACTGGTTTGTTCCACGTTGGAGTAAGCTGTTGGGGGAAGAATCAGTTTTGTTGTGTGTTTCCTTGACTGATGAAGCCTTCCGGACCGAAGGCGTAACGTTTCAGCACAAAAAAAAGAAACTGTCCAGATGACCTGACTGAAAAATGTTGGATTCAAGCAACGATGTGTCAGTAACTTCATTTTGACTTTTTTTGATCATCTCCAAAGCAAAAGCCATTAATAACCCAACCGATGACGTCTTGTTCAGTGAATTTACTTCACTGCAGATAATACACACATATATTAACAGATCTAAAAAAGTTAAATCTGGTCCTCTGGACATTAAAAAAAAAAACCCAAAACAAAGCAAAACAACACAAAATGTAGAAACGTTTCGTCTCTCGTCCGAGAGACTTCTTCAGTCTGAGGTGCTGTTTTCAGCTCAGTCTCTTAAATAGCACCTTCTCAGAGTGGATCAACCAGTTTTGCTGCTGACAACCAAAACCAACTGATCAC